CCGAGACCGCCAAAATTTGTCATATTTTACACTCTGAATGAGAGATCGCCAGACTGAAAGGTTTAATTTCCCATAAATGACGAAATATATTCAGTTCTTGGCGCTTGTGATTCTAATAGAATTGCTTTACGAAGAAAGGATCTGGCAAATGGTTGGGGTAACGTAATTACTAATCATGTAATTTTTTTTCTAGTGAGTAGTGAATGAAGTGATATAAATAAACTGGATTTGTGAGGCATCATTTCTTATCTTTTCACAATTTTTATAAGGTAATGTGTTTGGTTTGCTGGTGTTCATTATGCATTATTTGCAATAAGGACACTATCCATTGTAAATAAATTTTTACTTATCTAGGAAACGTGAAAATTGCCAACAATATCGCTCTCAATTGTGCCGTTATTCTTAATAACCCACGTAATCAACTTTCAGCCAATATTGTTTCCCTCGTAATTATGATTCCCAGAAATGGAACAGTCAATGATCTCCAAACCACAATTCAGAATCAGTTAGAATCTAACATTCCTCTTGATATTCGTCAAATTTATTATCCTGGACCTGTAGATGAAAGACGTATGCGATCACCAGCTCTAATCTCTAGTTTTTTCAATGGGGATCCTCCTGAAAATGTATATCACATCGTCGCATACACAGTTAATGGATAATATTTTTTTTTATTTACATCTGCAGTATGTAACTGCGATATATATTTTTTTTATTTTATGTTGTTATTTCGGTAACATTTTTTATATATCAATAAAGTAAGGTTCTATGTAACCATTTGTCTCGATGTGGATGTCCATGCTTTATTTTCATCAAAATCATGTGTGCGTGAACAATTGTTCACACCAATCACTTTAGCTAGAAAAAAAATTGAATGTGTCTCAATACTTTGATATAATACGACATTATACATAAGATATTAATATGTCTGGCAAATCTAAAAACAACAGACGTAAGACTCAAGGTAGATTCACCGATAATCCTAAGCAGTATTTTCAATTTAAAAACCAGGATAAGTACATACATAGAAAAGACGAAGGTTTTATAACTATCATAAATAGGAATACAGAAGACGTAAAGGCGATTTTTGATTATGTAGAATTATGCAGATATTTGGAGGTAAATAATCTCGATTCAAATATTCTCAGCATGTAGTGGAAAATGTGTAATAATTAGCTTATTTTTTCGAATTTATGTATTATTATTATTGGATTTATGAAAAACTCGACTACCAGGTCGGCTTTATTAATACAGAGATAAATAACAGTATAATGTAATGTTTTTCTATCCTTACCTTATGGTGATTGTGGTGTGACTAAGGTTGTGGGCGAAACCTCTTAATGACTGTCGAAACTCTGTCGAAACTCTAATGAACAATTAATGTGTAACCTGTCGAAACTCTGATGATTGGCGAAAACCCCAAATGCGAAACTCTGCCAAAACTCTAATAAACAATTAATGTGTAACCTGTCAAAACTCTGTCGATTGATTTCTGGAGGAATTTCTCCCGCAACCTTAGCATGCACCCTTGGTAGATTATGCGCCATTTATTATGATTTTTATAATAAATTTATGATATATATATGTTTTTTAATGGATGATGATTATTGTTGTTGTTGAGATATTTTCAAAAGTTTTATTCATGAAATTTTTTAATTGTATAGGAGTGTAAGAATTTGATAAAAAAAAAATTTAATCTTTATTTATTATTATACTGATTTTTTTGGAATTGGATTATTTATTGTTGTGTTTATCTTGTTTTTATTATTATTTTGTTGTTTGCATTCATCTTTTTATTATTATTGGGAAATTTGGATTTAATACTAATCAAACAAACAATTTTAATATTGTTGTTTGCTTTTACCTTTTTTTATTTTTAAATTTATTCACTATAATGTGATTGGTGCTATTCATCGTACAGTTTTAAGTTTGTTGAAATGAGAGTTTGACTGTGGGTTCACTATCATTATCACTATAATTATGATTGCTATTATCATTGTCCATGTTGCAAATAAGTAAAGGAGAGATATCACATCTCTAAAGCAGATTAAATTTGAGTAATACAATTATGCAAATGCATAAATCTGGTGTCTCTATTCCTTATTCATTTTGATAACTAATAATATTTTGTGAATAAATAGGTTTAGTTGATGCAAGTATATAATATATTAATATATTACAAGTTTATTAGAAAGTTTCTTTTTAGCTGGAGAAACTGACAAACAGAAGATATACAGTTGAAACTATGTTGGAAGAATTAGATATTATGGCAGAAGTTCAAGTTGATAAAAACTTTGGTTCTCAAACTTTAAACTATTTGTGGGTGGATTAATCACCTATGTTGTATTAGTATATTTAGAGCAATGCCAGAGGTTGTGAGTATGTGACCCAATATCATCTGTCCTTATATTATTATGACCTAATTAGTATTAGTCTGTTATAGAGAGCTACCCCAGAATCACCAGCAAAAAAAGTGATATTTATCCAATAAAATTGCAAGATCATGTGTTCTGTTCTGTTACTGCTGTATATTATAGTAAAACTTAGTGAAGGATAGGTTATACATATTATCAGAAATTATCATTGTTAACTCAGGCACAATCTCATGATACCCTGACTATACATGCAGTCCAAACTAATTATGACTTTCGGCATGTTGTAATGTTGTAATGTCATAAATATATTTAGGCATCCATTTTCAAATTGTAATGTATAATCATGTTGGAATATCATAATCATGTCATAATGTCATAATCATATTGTAATGTCATAAGAATTCCATCCCAATTTATATGTCCCATATATACCAACAGACATTTTTTGTAATAGTAAGTCAAATGGTCTGTTATAGAGAAAGTGAACTCTACTTACACTATAAGTGATTCCATGCATAGCTCAAAACCAAGCTACACAAGAAGGAAATAATGATTCAATATATTTGAAAAAAAAACAGAAATAAAACAAAAGCTCTTTTTGAAGATTGTAATTATTAATGATAATAAAATTTACTGGGTAAAGCAATTAAATGAATATTTATCACCAATTAGTTGATTTGGAAGATGATGTTGGTTAATGCTCATGCTCATATTCAACTTCAACATAAGCAGCACCTAAAACAATTAATTGAAAAAATCAGAAAAAATATCACAAAATATTAAATATTTTTTTGCTGATTTTACAAAACTTACAAGATTTTTTATTCTGTTTGAATGTTGTTATCTTATTTTTTCGTTTATTCTATCAAAAAAAAATATAATATATATTGTTATTATTATTACAAGTTACTTATGTTCAACCATCAATGAGATAGATACCTTTAAATTATTTTCTTCAACTATTTCTTCTTCATACTCTTCTAGTTCTTGTGAATCTTCTGAATCATCATCATTGTCAAATTCATCCTCATCCTCTTCTTGAAGAAGATCTTCTAAATCCGCCAACTCTGATTCACTATCACCTTCAACAAATTCATTTTCCTCCTAAAAAAATTTTATGATTACAAATAAGTATATGATGTCAAGCTAATAAATAAATAAAAAATCCATATTATATCACACCATCAATAATAATAGACATTTACCTCACTATTTAAATCTTCTACTTCACTCTCACTTGTAAGATCATCTTCAACTTCAACTTTATCACCTTCCAAAACTGATCTCCAAACCTTTTCATTAACATTAAGTGGTGTATCACCATAAGCTTTATTTTTCAACCGACCAATCAACTCCTTTTCTATTGCATGATCTAAATGTGCAGCTGCTTCAGCCTTTCATTCTCTAGTTGATTCTCTCCTCTCAATTTTCTTTTTGATTCCAACAAGCTTTGGTCTAATGAATTTGTGTTTATTTTTGTGAAAAATATTTTTTAAGAAAAGAATATAATATTAATAAAATACTACATCCACTAACCGATCTTTTAATTTTAACTTCCTCACCTGTATTAAATATTGAGTGATTTTTGTTAACCATTGTTTGCATTTATGAATCAAAAAATTTGGCCAGAACAGTAACTCTTTATCAAACTTTTTTTTTATAAATAAAATATTATAATCTGTTAAAATATAAATAAATAATTATCGATATAAAAAATTCTGTTCTAAAGCTTTTTTATAATTTTTTAAAAGTTTTGTTTTTTGCCATATTTTTGCAGGAGTATGAGCTCTTTCAGCGATTTTTGTATATAAATAAATTGTACCTATCAAATAAGAAAAATCAATAATTAATTTTTAATTTTAATCAGAATATTTATATATGGATATCAATGATTCCTAGAAACTAACCATTTATTTCACGAACAGTTGCATATTGACTATTTGCCAATGGACAAGATTGTCTACTACAAAATCCAGTGACATTATATTCATTTTGACAAAAATTCTGAGTTTTTGTTCTAAAGGGCAAAACAAAGGCTTCTTAATACATTATAATGAAGTAAAAAATAAACATATAATATACAAAAATTTTGGTTTATAACTTGCCAAATCACTTCATCTGACATTTATATATGTATATATAATTGTTTTTGGAAATGAAAAATTTTTTATCAGATGAATCGAATATTTGTACTACCAGATTTCAGGGCTAATGTGATGTTAGGATACATTCATGTTTGTAAAAAATGAATTTTATTAATTTTATTTTATTTATTAGTTTTATTCAAATTATTAATTTTATATTAGTTTATTTAAAAATCTTACTAACTGATCCTGTGCAGTGTATAAATTTCGGTGTGTAACTAGTACAAATGTAGGAAGCTATTTTACAAATTTAGAAACTATCTGCAGGAAATTACTGATGTAAGCATGGTGGAAATTCCCTTTTTTTGTGTAACATTTGAAGATCAAAAAAAAATTTTATTTTTTTAATATTATATTAATTTTTAATTTTATTTTTTAATATTAATTTTTAATTTTATTTTTTAATATTAATTTTTAATTTTATTTTTTAATATTAATTTTTAATATTATTATTGATTACAATTTTTATGAAACCTATTGGATAATTTAGATAAATATTTTTTTATTAATTTAAATTATAAATTTTTAAAGTTAAAATAATTTTTTGTTGGTACTTACTTATTTAATGCTTCAGTTAATTGTTTATTTGCAGAATCATCATTTTGAAAAATTATAAATTCATCATTATCATTAATATTTTTTTCATCTCAGAACTACTACTATCATTATCATTGTCTTTCTTTTTTTTCTTTTTTTTATTGTTATCTTGTCCAGATTTTTTCAATCTTTCAATAAAAGAAGGAACTAATTGATTAATCTTTTCTGAAAAATATTGGTAACAATAAACACATAAATTATTTTGCCTGTTAAAACAAATAATATGAAATGAATGACCACAAGTTAAAAAATAGCTTGGAATATTTTGATCTAAAATCTTACAAAAGTTGGCATCACAAAATTTTTGAGTATTAGGAATGTGTGATGAAAGAAAAGCTGTTGGTAAAGCAACTTCCCATAATTTACCCATTGTTGGAAGATCATAATATTGTTTTTCATTTGCTTTTCTTTTTGTAAGTTTTTGTGTTTTACCTAAATTATTCCAAACTGATTCAAAGTATTGTAATAAAAATATAGCTGATCTTTCTAGCATACAATCTATATTTTTTTTTGAATAAGGATATTTTTTTTTTTCAACAAATGCATTTAAAAAATTATTATTATGTTTTTCAGTATCTATAACTAAAGCATCACGCCTTAATCTTTTTGGATCAAAACCTTTATCAGATGTGTATCTACATAATAAAGAGTGAAAGTTTTCTACATAACTATCATGAAATAGTGATAAGTATTGCCTAATAAAATTGTAAATTGGATGATTAATTTGATTCCAGTAAAAAATATCACTTAGAAAAGCCAAAATAGCCTTATCATAATTTTTTCTTTTAAATCTTGCCATAAAAGTCCATACACAAAATAAAGTTTCAATATATTCATCGAAAAATCCTCCTCGAAATAAAACTCCATAAATATCCAACACAGAGGGAATGATATTATCTAACAAGTCAATACTAGTTGCATATTCAATATCTTTACATAGTTTAAATTTTTTTAAGATTTCTTGCCTAACTAACTTCCAACCACCATAACTTAGATATAGAAGTAAATTAATTTTACATGGAAATATTCTTTCTCCAAGATCTTTTTTAGCCTTAAAAACATACAAATAGAGCTTATTAAAAAAAGGATAAAAAATTTTATATGTTGTTTCATGTGTGTTTAGTGAGATGTGTAGAGGACTAATTAAAGGAACTAACTTAGTTATTTGATCAGGAATATTATTATTTAACTTTAAAATTTTTTGAGTAATTGCTGATATTGGGATTATATTTGTTTGAATATAATCTTGAATTTCAGAAAATTGAAATAAAAAATTTGCTGCTTTTAAATAATCATCCAGTGATTTAAGATTCAACTCTTGAAATTCAATCAACTTAACACAATCCATTGTACGTATATTATACATATCTTCTTGAATCCAGTTGGTATTGTATGAGTGAATTGATAATGTGTTTATTAATTCTTTTTCAGGTAAGAGAGTCATTTCTGGAACTGACCAAAATGATTTTCTATTTATATAACTAACACTAAATTTGTTCATATATGTATTATATAAATAATATATTAAACTATTAGAGTCTACAAGATTTGGATTATGTACTTTGAATCCAGATGGAGATAAGTAATAAATTGAAGGGATATTTGGAGTATTTATTGTCATAGTCATCATATGTGCAACTTGTGAAGTTGAAGTAGTGTTTGGCATTCTTGATTGGTGTATGTCATGACAGTCATCTATATTTAAAATAAAAGTATTAATTTTCTAAAAAAAAAATTTTTAATTTTAATTTTAATAAATAATATATATATTATAAAATATTATAAAATATAAATAAAATTATTTACCTTTTTTTTTAAATATTCTAGTACACTCAAAGCATGATCTTTTTCTATTTTATTCATTTTGTTAATTAATGAACGATAAGTAGTTGATAAGCCAACATTTGATAGCATGTTAATTCCAGAACATGATGTGCCAGTTCCGACTAAAAACAATCCCATATCATCTTTAAAATAAGTACAATGTTTATTTCTAATACTTACTAACTGGTAAATTAATACCATAATTTTTTTTTTAATACTTTCAATTGTTTTTTGATTTTTATTTTTAATATTTGTTGATTGAACTAATGTATTAAAAAAATGAACAAATCCAGGATGTTTATTACTCACATATTCCATAAAATTGTTTACATTATTGATTGGATTTATTTTTTCCTTATGTTGAGCATCGTATAAAATTTTTGTTAAAATTTCTATTTCTTTTGTAAAATATTTACAAAAATTTGTTTCTTCTAAAAATAAATAAACAGTAATATTAAAATAAGTATAATAAACATATATATAAAATGTAAATTTTTTGATGCTTTTATATTATATTTAAAATATAAATTATTTGCCTGATATTAAAAATAATTCATCAAAATTTTCTTTTAATTGGTCTAATTCATTTTGTATAAATTGAATATTTGCCTTAAGTTGAATATTTTCTGATGATTTATTTATTAATTCATTATATTCAGCTTCATGTAAAATAAATTTTCTTTTTTTTTCATGTAATGGTAATTTTAAACAAAAATTTTCATCATCATTATTCTTATTATTCTTATCATTCCTATCATATACTACAAGATCATTGTAACATTTATGGCATAACTGTGAACCTATTTCTAAAACACATAAATTCTCTTTGTTATTAGAGAAAACTTTTCGTAAGGAATCTTCATTTAACTTCTGGAAGGTAGTGTTTTCATAATTGCTAAAATTACAAATTTCACAAGGTCCAAAATTGCTTCATTTCCTTCCCATATTCACACCAAAAAGTTTACTAATAAAATGTCAATGGAATTTCTGATCTTTTCTGATCTAGACTTAGAATATATGAAGGCGTTTATGTGCAAAATTTGAATACACATTCATTATTACACTTTACCCTGGCATTTGGTTACACTATTGTAATTCTACTTTAAACAATATAAATAATTATGTTACACGAAAAATAGAATTTCCACCATGCTTTGTTTGCCTATATTTGTTTTTTTTCGCCCCATATTTGTAAATAAACAGTGGTACGGGAAACAAGACATTGTAGAAGAGTGCTCATTATACATGAGCGAACAAACGAACAGATCGATCGAATAGATCGAGTGAGCATTGAGATGATGATAAATGATAAAAAAAATCAATTTTTATTAAACACAATTTTTTGGGAAGCATGAGATGAAAAAAATGAGACGTTTCTTTGATTTATGGTGCAAGTCACTTAGTCACTGAACTTTTTGTGCTATAATGACAATTTTGAGAAAAAAATTTACAATCAAAAATGCAATAAAATTTTTACGATCATGTGCTTTCAAAGATCGTCAAATACAGATTTTATCCAAATGTATTAATTATTCCATTATATTAAAAATACTTGAAACTAACAATATTATGTATAAAGAAAATAGTAAATGGATTAATC